AAAAAATAATAAATATTATATATTTTAATAATTATACATCTTACAATATTTTTTAAATTTTAATTAATAATGAATAAAATATATCATATTTCTCCATAATACTTTAAAAAATAAATAATTAAATACTAAAATAATTTTTTACCACAATTATAGGATAGTATATATTTTAATAATTATACATCTTACAATATTTTTTAAATTTTAATTAATAATAAATAAAATATATCATATTTCTCCATAATACTTTAAAAAATAAATAATTAAATACTAAAATAATTTTTTACCACAATTATAGGATAGTATAATTTAACACAACTATAACTACTGTCATAATCACAGCCACAGTCAAATCACAGCCACAATCACAGTCATAACATTTTACAGCAATTCAAAGGTATCCTATAAAAATTATTCAAATTTTTTTATTTAAAATATTACATGAAAATAAATTTGTGACTTTTTCTCAAGTGACAAGCTTATTCAAAATTTTTACTTTTGTGATTAATTTAAGTGGAAGTAACTCGATTTTTTTTAAATAAAATTTTGAATTTAAATTTAAGTCTTATAAATAAAAAAATAAAAATTAAAAGAATTTTCCTTATATGAAGTTCAATGTGACTGATATCTGATTAGAATGTGACTGATATCTGATTAATCAACATTTAACGTACTTACTAAATATCGAACAATTAATAAAAAAAAAATTTTACTTACGTGAATTAAAATGATAAAGCTAAATAATATGAACAATTAATAGCTTGAATAAATAATAAAATAAATTATCAGTAAATTACACATTTAACCCTCCCCGTACCTTCTTTCATCCCTAGCCTTTCTCCTGTCCTCCTGTCTCCTGTAACTCGATCCCTTCTCCCTTCTTTTATTCTTTATCTTTCTTTATCTTCTCCGGCACCGCCACAGCCACCGCCACCACTGTTAGCCCACTGCTTTTCCTCCCTTCCTTCTCCTTCCTATTTCTTCCTCTTTCTACCACTCCATCTATTCCCCTTGCTTCTCCATAGCAAAGAACCCAGAAAATCTTGGTACTCATCACGCGGTTTGGGTACTGATTATCCACTAGTAACCGTCGATTTCATCCCAATTTGATCTTGCTTTTTTTTTTTTTTTATCTTTATATTTAGATGTAAAGAGAAATAGATTCCAAATTTGCACTATTTATTCCCTAAAGCTGTACCTTTTGAGGAGTGTTAATT